CCTGTATTAGAGTGCCCCCACTCTGGATGAAGGCACCTTTGGACAGCAGCATTGTCAGTCTGGGGGGAGGGGAGTGTTAGATGTACTAGCAGATTTAAATACACTAACACACTGAAGCTGAACTCCAGCTAACTTTTTATTTGCAGCAAACTTTTTTTTTTCCTATTGGGATAACGGTTTTACATTAATGAAAGCTGATCATTGTAAGCACCCCTGCTAGTGTCAAATGGGTTGCCTCATCTCTGTAACTGATACATTCTGCTGAAAAGCTTGTTTTTTTGAAAAACAGACTTACTAGCCAGATCACAAGATGAAAATAGAAGAAAGAAAGCCTAAAAAAAAAACTAATGCAGCCACCACATCGAAGAATTGGCAAGCTGCAATATAAAAAAAAAGTTTGCTTTTGGGTTTAATACTGCTTTAAATTCCCTCACCGAGCTGTGTAGGTGGAATGCACTGTGATATACTTTGCTCTTTTTTTCTTTGAAGGGTGTGGGGTTTGGGGTGTATTTAGGGTAGATTATTTATTTGCTGTTCTTTATATTTATGTATTTTCCTCCTTCTTAGGGGTTTATGTCAATGGCTGATTTAGCCATTGCTGCATTTTCAATTTATCCACACGCAGCTGTGTTCGGATAAAAAAATGGAGCATTTGACATGAAAACATTGTGTTTGACTCACTTTGGCTGCACTTTATTTGGGCTCATTCACACTTGCTGTGGTCTCCGATGAGCAATCCACATTCAGAACGACGCTTTCAGATCAGCCGCATTCACTTGAAAGTAACAGTGGGTATAATTCCTGCTGTGGACACAAAGCAGGCCGTGGTATGTGTACACTCCTGGCTGCATCTGCAGCAAAAGGGGGGGGAACAGATGGGGGTGGTAAAAAAGTGGCTCATCAGTGGGGTTTTACCCCCATCAAAGACTAGAGTAAACAAAGGCTAGCTTCACACCTATGCAGTTTGCATTTGATCTGTTTCTGCAGTGCATTTTGAGTTTTTCCACGTGCGTTTTTGCATTTTTTTCTTGTTGCTAGGCAGATTTAAAACACAAAATGCATCAAAAACGTGGCAAAAAAGCAGCAAAAACGCAGTATTTCCATTGAAGTCTATAGAACAAAAAACACAACTCTGACCCATAGGAAATTATGTTAAATGGACTGTAGCACCTTTCTGCAAAACGCTGCAGAAAACGGTTAGGTGTGAACCTAGGGTAACAGCTGAACCATAGAAAATACAGGTCAACATGCGCTCAATATGTACTTCTCAATTGAAGTCAATAGGATTTTGCTGACCTGTGCTTGATGTGTGTTCTAAATGCAACAAGCAACCCAATGGAGCCCTTATACTTCTTTCACATGGGCAGCAGGCTCTAAGATCGTGGTTTAAAGTCAATTTATGTGTGTTCAGGAGGCAACACTGCCGTCTTTTTCAACGCCTGTTTTTTGACTCTTCAAGGGGATTTTATGTTGAAATACCGCCATAGCTATGTGGTGTGCTTCCATTGACTTTAATAGGTGTGATTGGCAGGTGTAGCATCTACCAAACATGATGTGTCACGTTAAAACTAGTACGCTACCTCGCAAATGCGCTAATCTGATGTGTCCTTTTGGCAGCGAGGTAAACAAAACGTGGGTGTCTCCACAAAATCCTGTTTTTCCCTTGGCCCTTTGCCCCTGTGAATGAGGCCTTAGTGTGTGGAGTGCTATTCAGAAGGAAATGAAAGGCAAAACAATGCACTAATGCATGAACGCATGCTTGTACAGGAAAGGGCTCATTCACACGGGCAGGAAAAATTCTGCGTTTAGATGAGCACAGCATATAGTTTTGTGAGCATCCCAACTCAGCACCATAGTAATCAATGAGCCCATACACACAGCCTCATCTACATGCAAAAATGTGCACTGTGCAAAAAACAAAGGACATGGCTACATCCAGGGCTGCACAGATATGCAAATTTTACACGCATGTATGCATAAACATATACGTGCATACTGTACATGTGTACTCATTCATTGGAATGAAAGAATTGTTTGCGTCTAAATGTGAGTACTTTAGGCGCACATTTTTTACGGGATCCTCTGCTAGCTCTGCCAGCAAGAACCATGTTCCTGTGCAGAAAAACAAAAATGTCTAAATTGGCCCTAGTATGTGTATGTATGAATGTAAGTAATGCAGGCCATACATGGGTCGAATTCCAATTTTTTGGCCGAAAATCGAAAACGTTGTTCGCTCGATAATCCGATGGTGTCATCAATGATTTCGAAAATCGGCAGACTGAGTCATAAAGTTCACCCCATATAACAGGTGAAACTTCTGTTCCTTCCAGGTCACGGCTCAAGCGCATAGTCTTTTCAGAAAAACGATCGTACGATTTTACCATCGGGTCAAAAATTGGCTGTTTTTCACAAATTTTCCAACATGCCCGATCACCGAAAAGGAACCATGGAAATCGGCCGATGCCACTGACCCACTAACAGAGCGAAAATTGGCTGAGTATTGTTAGGTCCAATTTTCGGACAAAAAATCGGTTGAATTTCGACCCATGTATGGCCCACATTAGGGACCTTAGATTGTACGCCCCTTGAGGGTTAGGGACTGATGTGAATGTACAATATATATGTAAAGCGCTGCGTAAATTGACAGTGCTATATAAGTACCTGAAATAAATAAATATGCCTGTGAATGAGCCCTAAGTGAGCCCCCACACTATGTTGGCTTTTACATACAGTAATTGCTAATGTGAATGGGGCTTGAATTTTGCCCATCCCTAGTCACACAGGTCTGGTCAGGGTGCCCTTGCCATAGCAATGAATGGCTCCACCACAGCGCTGTTGCCATAGAAACAGAAGGCTCTGTCATGGCGCCTCTGCCATAGCCACTGTGGCTCAGCCAATGGCAACGCAGGTAGAGTCAGTCAAGCTCCGGTGTTAACAGAGCACTTTCTTCAGGTAATGGCGGCAGTTGCCTGGGCTACATGTTCTGTGTGCACTCGGGTAAGCAAGCGCCTACATTATGATGTGTGAATGGGCCCTCGGTTTCTCTAGTCACACAGTTCTGGTCAGGGCCCTTGTCTAGCAATGAATGGCTCCACCACAACACTATTGCCATAGAGACAGGCTCTGGTCCCGGTGCTGTTGCCATAGCCACTCTAGGCTCTGCCAATGGTGTCGCAGGTGGAGTCAGTCGGGCTTAGCAGTCACAGAGCACTTTCCTCAAGTAATAGCAGCCATTGCTGTGGCTACCAGCTGTGGGCCCGCTCTGGTAAATGAGCCCCACAGCCTTTTGTGTTTTAATGCAGACATGTTTATGTAAAGGCTAGAATGAATGGCCCTCAGTTTTGCCCATCCCTAGTCACACAGGTCTGGTCAGGGTGCCCTTGTCTAGCAATGAATAGCTCCACCACAGCGCTGTTGCCATAGAGACAGAAGGCTCTGTCATGGCGCCTCTGCCATAGCCACTGTGGCTCAGCCAATGGCAACAGGTAGAGTCAGTCAAGCTCCGGAGTTAACTGAGCACTTTCTTCAGGTAATGGCGCCAGTTGCCTGGGCTACATGTTCTGTGTGCACTTGGGTAAGCAAGCGCCTACATTATGATGTTTTAACGTGTGAATGGGCCCTCGGTTTCTCTAGTCACACAGGTCTGGTCAGGGTGCCCTTGTCTAGCAATGAATGGCTCCACCACAGCGCTGTTGTAGAGACAGAAGGCTCTGTCACAGCGCTGTTGCCTTAGCCACTAAAGGCTCAGCCAATGGCATCACATGAAGAGTCAGTCAGGCTCCAGCGGAAACAGAACGCTGTCCTCAGATAATGGCGGCAGTTGCCATGGCTACGAATTGTGTGTGTACTCGGGTCATGCTATGGTGTGTTTTATCGCACACTTGCTTATGTAACGCTTAGTGTGAATGGGCCCTCAGTTTTCCTAGTCACACAGGTCAGGTCATGGTGCCCTTGCCATAGTAATGAATGGCTCCACCAGAGCACTGTTGCCTTACAGAAAGAAGGCTCTGGTTACAGCACTGTTGCCATAGCCACTGCAGGCGCGGTCACTGGCATTGCAGCAAGAGTCAATCAGGTTCTGGTGGCAATAGAACGCATTCCTCAGGTAATGGCGGCCATTGCTGTGGCTACAAGCTGTGGGCCCACTCTGGTAGATTAGCTCCCACACTATGGTGTGTTTTAATGGCTAGTAGAGAATGGGTCCTCAGTCTCTCATCACACAGGTCTGATCAGTGTGACCTTGCCATCGCATTCAACGGCTCCACCAAAGTGCTGTTGCCATAGAGACAAATAGCTCTGATCACTGCGCTGTTGCCATAGCCAACATGGGCTCAGCCAATGGGTCGCAGCTAGTCAGTATCAGCGCTGATAACGCTTTCCTCAGGTAATGGCGGCCATTGCTCTGACTATTCAGGTAAGTGAGCCCCCACACTATGGTGTGCTTTTAGTGTAATCACATTTAGTGTGAATGGGCCCTCAGTTTCTCTCTAGTCACACAGGTCTGGTCAGGGTGCCCTTGCCATAGCAATGAATAGCTCCACCACAGCGCTGTTGCCGTAGAGACAGAAGGCTCTGGTCAGGGCGCCGTTGCCATAGCCACCGCGGGTTCGGCCAATGGCGTCGCGGCAAGAGTCAGTCAGGCTCCAGCGGCAACCGAGCGCCGTCCTCAGGTAATGGCGGCCGTTGCCGTGGCTACAGGCTGTGCACGCACTCCGTCACGTCCCCTCCCCTGCTTGGCCAATGGCAGGCGGGCGTCAGCGGCTGGGCGGGGCTCCTCAGCTCGCTCCGTGTGGAAAAGACGGTTTCGGGTGCAAAAGTTTGTATTATTTTCCTCCTCCGGACGTCAGAGATGCCCAGTGAGGGAGAAGCCGCTGCTGCCGCCGGTCTCCGGCCTGTTCTCCTCTCCGCAGCCTCCGTTCCTCTATCCCCCGACCTTTGCCCCGAACGCGGGCTGATAAGACGCCGAGATGTGGGAGTCCAACCGAGTGCGGCTGCTATGTATGCTCGGCCTGACCTTCGTCTTCTTCGTGGTGGAGGTGGTCATCAGCCGGCTGACCGGCTCCCTGGCCATGCTCTCCGACTCCTTCCACATGCTGTCCGATGTCATCGCCCTGGTGGTCGGCCTGATCGCCGTGCGCTTCGCCCAGAAGACCCGCTCCACCGACAAGAACACCTTCGGCTGGATCCGGGCCGGGGTGATGGGCGCTCTGGTCAACGCCATCTTCCTCACCGCCCTCTGCTTCACCATCGTGCTGGAGGCCATCGAGCGCTTCACCGAGCCGCAGGCCATCGAGCAGCCGCTGGTGGTGATGGGGGTCGGGGCCGGCGGGCTGCTCATTAACCTAATCGGCCTGTGTATGTTCCGGGACAGCGCCGGGGCCGCCCACGGGCACTCGCACGGAGGAGGAGGCGGAGGAGGAGGACACGGGCACGCGCACGGGGGGAAGAAGAACCGGAGCCGGGGGGAGAGATCGGCCGGAGAGGGGGCCGCCCTGGACCGGGAGGAGACCAACAACCTGGTGGAGAACTGGGCCAACGGACCTGCCGTGGAGGTGGTGCCGGGAAAGCACGGTGAGGAGGACTGTAGAGTGGCAGCATAGCAATGTGCCTGTGTGAAAAGCCTCAGGTGGAAGCTGATCCTCATCCCTACTACTTCTACAGCAATGTGCTTGAGTGAGAAGCCTCTGGTGGAAGCTGATCCCTACTACTTGGACCACAATGACAAACCTGTCTTCACTTACTGGCACACCTATGAGAATGACAGCTGTCATCTGAAGCTTCTCACATGGGCACCTTGCTGTGACAGGTTCTCTTTCATCTCCTGTAATGTCATGAAAAGGACAGCAGGAGGGAAGTGTGAGGTGTCACCTGTCTCACTGTCCCTGGAAAGTTGTTCCCAGCCATAGATCGCTAAGGGGGGCAGAGAAGCCACCTCCTGTTTCCATGGCATCACCCTAGAAACCCCATTGGGTCACATTTGCTAGCCAAGCGAGGCCGTTGTGGCCCTCTCTAGTGATCCGGTCACTGGTAAGTTGTCCCTAGCAATAGATCACTAAGGAGGGCAGAGAAACCACCTCCTGTTTCCATGGCTTCACCCTAGAAATCCAATCGGGTCACATTTGCCAGCCAAGCCAGGCCATTGTGGCCCTCTCTAGTGATCTGTCACTGGTAAGTTGTCCCTAGCAATAGATCACTAAACAGGGCAGAGAAGCCACCTCCTGTTTTCATGGCATCACCCTGAAAAAAACCTTTGTAAGTGTTGCCTTCTATAGCGATCCTGTTGGCTAGTTGTCCCCAGTGGTGGGATTTGCAAGTGTGACAGGGGCCTTACACTTCCCTCTGTGCTTCTAGTCCCTGGTGTTTCAATGGAATAGTCATCGAAATATTGGTCTACAGGGCCACCATTGGGGTGACTTAATTCCATTGGGATATTAGGGAGTGGGAGGACTGAGCTAACAGGCCGCAATGGGGTAGGTGCAGGGCAAGCACAGTGAGGATGACTGTAAGTGTCATAGATGACAACACAGCCATGCGCCTCTGTTAAATGCCATCGATGGAAGCTGCTCTTGATCCTTGCTACTTCTAGTGCAATGACTTCCTATGTGTCCACTTAGCCAGACACCTATGAGAGTGACAGCTGTCATCTGAAGCTTCTCACATGGGCATCTTGATTTCCTGGAATTCTCATTGAAAAGGACAGCAGGTGATAAGTGTGAGGTGTCACTTGTCACACTGTCCCTTGTAACTTGTCCCCAGCGATAGATCATTAAAGAGGGCAGAGAAACCACCGCCTGTTTCCATGGCGTCACCCTGGAAATGCTGTTGGCAGTATTGCCCTCTATAGCAATCCTGTTGCTGGTGAGCTTTTCCCAGTGGTGGGATTTGCAAGTGGTACACTTCCCTCTGTGCTGGTCTTTCCTGGATAAAGACCTCCAAATACTCAGCACAACAGTCCTATGTGATCTGTGCTTCTGGTCCCTGGTGTTTCAGTGGAAATGGTCCTCCAAATAGAGCTCTATGAGACCACCATTTTGAATTAATCCCACTGAGATATTAGAGAGCGGTAGGACAGAACTAACGGGCCGCAGTGGGGGTGGTGCTGGGCAAGCACAGTGAGGAAGACCACAGGCCTTATAAGTGACAACACAGCAATATCCACGTGTGAAATGCCAATGATGGAAGCTGCTCCTGACTTCTACTTGAAGAGCAATGACATCACTTGTGTTCACTTAGCCAGACACAAGAATGACAGTTGTCATCAGAAGCTTCTCACATGGGCACCTTGCTGTGACAGGTTCTCTTTTTGATTTCCTGGAATGATCATTGAAAAGCACAGCAGGAGGGAAGTGTGAGGTGTCGCCTGTCACACTGCCCCTGGTAAGTTGTCCTTAGCAATAGATCACTAAAGAGGGCAGAGAAACCATGGCCTGTTTCTATGAAGCACCCTGGAAATTGCCGTAGTTAGCCAGGCGATGGCGTTTTCGCACTCTATAGCAATCCTGTTGCTAGAGAGTTGTCCCCAGCAGTGGGATTTACAAGTGTGACACGGGCCTTACATTTGTTCTGAAAATACTCGGCACAATGGTACCATGTGATCAGTGCTTCCAGTCCTGTTGTTTCATTGTCCTCAAAATAGCGGTTTACGGGACCACCATTGTGGTGAGTTCAGTCCATTGAGATATTGGGGAGCTGGAGGACTGAGCTAATGGTATACCGTGGAGGTAATTCCAGGCAGGCACAGTGATGACTACAGGTGTCATAGGTGACAACACAGCAATGTGCCCATGTGAAATGTCATCAATGGAAACTGTCTTGATCCCTGCTACTTCTAGAGCAATGACATCTCATAGGCTCTCTTATCCATTCTACTCTGAATGACAGCTGTCATCTGAAGTTTCTCACATTGGCACCTTGCTGTGACAGGTTCTCTTTTGATTTATTGGGTTCATTGAAAAGTACAGCAGGAGGTAAATGTGAGATGTCGCACTGTTTGCTGATAAGTGGTCCCCAGCAGTAGATTGCTAAAGAAGGCAGAAAAACCAGCGCCCGTCTCCACGGCATCACCCTGAAAATGCTGTTCGCAGGTGAGGCCAGTGTTGCCCTCTGTAGCGATCCTATTGCTGGCAAATTGTCTCTACCAGCAGCATTTGCAAGTGTGATCCATGATAAGGAACTCAGATACTCAGCACAACAGTACAATGTGATTAGTACTTTAGTCCCTGGTGTTTCAGTAGAAATAGTCCTCGAAATAGATGTCTACGGGTCCACCATTGTAGTGACCAGGGGTGGACTGACTATTTGTAAACTCGGGCACTGCCCGAGGGCCCAGGGTCAGTAGGGGGCCACATGAGATGCCCCTGGTACCTTTCTCATAGGCTTTTTTGAGTTTGGGCAAGGACACAGGGGCCCCACGATCCCCTATTGCCTGGGGGCCCCATGAGTTGTCAGTCTGCCCCTGGTAGTGACCTTGATTCCATTGCGATTATGGTGTACCAGAGGATTGAGCCAACAGTACCACCAGAATTTTCAGACTGCTGTACTGGGTAATGGCAAAACAGGAACAGGACATGCATCTAAAGATTAGGCAAAGGATGGTGGAATGTAACACTGCCGTCAACTGTGTGCTGACAGCCAGCAGCTGTAGCTGTCAGACTATCTGAATAGTGGCTACAGCTGATGGGCCGCAGTCATTGTTCGGCTGACTTTTTTCGCCTGGCTCCTTTTATTTTATTAATATATATATTTTCAATCTAGATTTGTTGAGATGTCAGCAGACCCTTAGAAATTTGGTTCACAGGGATGGGTTGAAATTTGGGCTATGTATGGCCAGCTTACCTCCCGCAGTCCATCTAAAGAGAATTCCTGGAGCTCTGGCTTAACCCAGCTTAGTGATCTCTGGAAACCTATCCCATTTAAATGCTTTGAGATAGTCGGGTTTCCCTGAACCAGTTTACAATTAGATAGTGTGGTCTCCTAGTGCTGCCAACAGTTGTGTGTGGTGTGAGGGGCTACCTGATTGGATACGAATTGAATGGGTTGTTTAGGTAGGCCTGTTCTAAGATGACACAAACAGTCTGATTGCAGTCTTCTTTTGATTTACTGAAATGATATAATATGAGGATGTACTTTTTTTTTTTTTTTTTTTTTTTTTTGTCTTAGGCAGGCCTTTTAAATGTTATATTACTATATATGTAAACTACAGTTCATCATTTGACCGAGTATGTCGGAGCTTTGGGTTTCCATGCCACTCCCTTGTCCATTCACAGAACACCTTGTATTCTCAGAATGATCCACAAAATACAAGGGGTTCTGTGAATGGACAAGAGAAAAGGGGGTGTATAAACTATAGTGCAGCTTCTTTGTGTGAGAGCTGTACATCTGGCATCATAGACAATGGAGGTGACATTCTATACATCTCATGAAAATTAACTATTTTCTACACATTATAAAAAAACAAACCAAACCAAAAATCCTGTTAATGTATGCGCCTCTGATTGGTCTCCGATAATCACATTTTAAAGGATAAGTTCACCTTTTCTACTAAAAAAAAAATAAGTAAATGCACATTTTTTGCAGGTAAAAAAAAAGCGCATTTATATAATTTAGTAGGCGCCTGTAAAGCTATGAATCAGCAGATTGTGGGCGCAATCTCAGACTCCTACAGATTTAGTGTAAGATGTCTGCTCATACGTTTTGTTCAGGCAGATAGTTACTGAATGACAGGAAGACCCAATGAACTACTAGAGCGCTCACTAGAGCCCTGGTAGTATATTGAGAACTACAAAACTGTCAGACGAAAAGGCTTGTCAGTACCTGTAGTTCATTCATTCACAGAACTCTGTGAATGAATGATGCAGTTTTGTGAATGGAGCTCTGCATGGCTGCTCTCTTTTCAAATTGTGACCAGGTGCAGAGAGAAGATCTCTGGCCCACTGTCACAATAAGGCTACGTTCACACTAGCGTTGTGTGCAGGGGGCAGAGAGGCGTTTGGGAAGCGTTTTTACCGCTTCCCAAACGCGTTTTTTCCCAAACGCGCCTCTGCCAATTCTGCACATTACAGCACATGGTGCTGTTCTAACGGGAGCGTTTGCATCGCGTTGCGTCACGGCAAAATGGACGCCTCTGGTTGAGTCAGGAGGCGTTGAAGCCTCCTGTTCTAGTCTATGGTGCCGGCGTTTGCAGTGCGGTTGCGAGGCGTTTGCGGAGCGGTAACACCATTCAAACTGCATTATAGGCGTTTGTATGGCGTTTTTAATGCTCGGCAACTTCCGCTAAACCGCGCATGCAGCGTTTGCCGAGCGTTAAAAACCGCTCCGCAAACGCTGGACCAACGCTTGCCAAACGCTATAGGGGCATTTGGCAAGCGTTGGTTAAAACAGCCAAGTGTGAACGAGCCCTAAGGCTCCATGCACTCTGGCTCCTGAAGCTGTTATCAGCATTTTTCTTCCCTGCTCCTAGAAGCTAAAAAGTGTTATCCTATGTGTCCATGCACACTATTTTAGTCAAGTAGCATTTTTCATTCTTCAGCATTTAGGAGCAGTCAAAAAAATTGTTTTTGAGGAGGTTTTTT